TCCGTCCACAAAATTTTGGACCCTCTTTCGACCCTAATAAGTTGTTAAAGTTCTTCACGGCCGTTTCAGTACCACCCGAAAGTCTTCAATAAATTGCGGTCTCGCCCTCTATTTTCCCACACCGAGCTTAAATGTTCGAAAGTTTACCACCCTAATGTTAGGGTGTGCGCGCTATTCGAACGGTAAGTTTAATTCCCTCGTGATTTGCATTATTAAAATTTATGCTGTGTTATTAAACCATAAAAGTACTATTTGTGACGTGAAAAATCTATTCTGAGCTATACGTTCGATAACTTACTTTTTTCACTTTCACCCAACTAATTATTAACTGTGGTTTTGCCTCAGCTTGCTATTCTGTTTTTTTTTTCGTTTCTCGCGTAAAGAATAGTTTCAGCTTACCGTAATCCGTTTTAATCCATTTTTGCCCGTTATAGTGTACTGTGTTTCTTTTTAACGGTCTTAGGCTTTCTGCTTGTATCTATAAGACAGTTCACGTCAATGTAGTCATGAAAAATTCATGCAAGCGACCTGGATGCCGTTTCGCTGTTACATCTGGTATGCAGTGTTACAAATGCAAAGGTTGGTTTCACGAAGCCTGCACAGATTTCGCAGCAACTGCCTACAACATACTCAGCTAGTCGGATCTTAGGTGGGTATATGTTATGTGCACCACGGATGCTGTAGTTTTGCTGAGCAACATCATCGCCCTATTGACAGGTCTGCGGAACAAGTTGTCTGGAAACTTGATAAATGACAGTCATACAACGGGTAGACGAACAGGGACGCGCAGTGTAAACAATAAGTGGGATATCGACATACCGACTATTGACGGTGCAGGTAATAGCGCTAGTGATGGAATGCTGAATCCCAGTACCTTCGTAACATCGATGGTAAAAGACCGCCTCAACAAACATCGGTCGGTGAGACTAAACTATATGGACGAGCCAATCAGAAGCTTTCGCGGGTTTTCAAGGTCACGGTGCTAAGTTCGGTACCTGATGCTTACATACGGTCGGTTTACAACGGATTTTAGAGAAGACGTGATAATTCAGCGTCTATAAGAGAAGTGATCATAAGATTTTGGCGCGAAATTCAATTATCCATTTGTATAAATAGAGTTTTGGCATTATAGCTGATGTCAGTTCGTGATGAAAACCCTAAGTATAATTCCTAACCTTAACCATGAGCTGTAAATCATAATTTGAATTCTTCACACAGGTTTATAACCCTCATTTAGTTTTAGTTATTATGTTGACACTCTCAGAGTCACTCTAGCGTCGCTCAAAGGTCGTCCATAATTTATTGTCTCATCCTTAACCCTAAACCTTAACTCTAATCCTAAACCACACCAATATAACAACAACATTGAAGCTGTTTGGTCGAGGCTATAAGAATTTTTGAGACCTTTTCATGGTTCCAGAGGTCGACTACTATGGAGCTAAATGGATGAGTTCCTGTACCGTATGCACTATGATTTTAGAACTTCTGAACCTATATCTAACCTTACTAAGTTCTTGAGTCATGTAAAAGAACAGTATCCCCTTTAACTTTTGAGTTTTGTATAATCTATTTCTACTGTGTACTGGCTGTCTTCTGATTGGCTAATATTTCTCAAGGTCATTTAAAATTCGTTCAAAGGTCGTCCATATAGTTTAATCTTGCCACATCGGTCTCTCAGCATATTTCCCCTGAATGCAGCGGTGGTTCCAAAAGCTCTGTATGTGATTGGACCCACGTTAACAGAGTAAAAAAAAACAAATGTCACAGTCTAAGCTGAACTTCACAAGAATTGTACGGGGATCAACTGGCCACTTGGCCGCACAGTCTACTCCCAAGAACGTTCGTTCGGTCATAAAAGAGCCTAAGAATCGGAAACGCGCTTCGGACCCCAAACAACAAGGTGCCGAACCTGAACACATTGTAAACCCTGGGAAATCAATAACGGCTCATGATGACTCTCTCAAAATCATGAACCTTAAGGACAACCCTGAAACTCCCCCCCACTTCGCAGGACAAAAATGGCAGGAAGTTTTGGGGAGAATTAAACAAGTGGCTTGCAATTCCTAGAATAGAACCTTTGACTGTCACACTGCTCGCTCAGGGAAAGGACTGTAACCATCAAACTCACCCGAGACTACTTCATAATAATAATGATGATAATAGTAATAATGTACTTCTGCAGGGGCAGGTACACGCCATTTTTACAGACATGATCTACAGATTCAACTCTGGGAGCATTTCGTGCCAATAGACGTCGGTTGCCACCTGGAATCCACATGCATCCAGATAGGCCACACGACACCAGGATCAAGCACAAAGGCATGTTGGAGCTAACAATTCCACGTGCGGAGTGTCTTGATCATAAAAAAACGTGGAAAGGTCACGGACTACCAACTCAGAAAACCTTGTACAGGTAGGCTACCTGTTCATTCACGCAAGGCTCGTTTAGACAAACGGGAAGAAGCTCACACGTTTCAAATTGAAAGCATAAACTGCTTATAAATGAACGCCACGAATTTGCCAAATAAAATGGGTGAGCTACGTAAACTTAGCAATACTTATAATGTTCATCTGATAGGAATGTCCGAAATTTTGATATCTTCTCAGTTTATGGACCAGTAGCTAGCAACACCTGGGATGTCTTTGTTTCGCAACGACAGAGAAACGGGAATGGGGTGGAGTAGCCTTATACATACGATCATGCCTGGAGGTACACCAACTTCACAACCAAGGGTTTCTCAACCATGATGAATCCGTATGGTGCTCAGTAGGATTGTCTACCACCTTGAGGTGTCTAGATGGAGTCATCTACAGGAGGCCCACTGATGACATAGAGAACGACAAGCGTAGGCTGGAAAAATTAGCCTGCTCTAAGCTTTTCGGATTCCCTCATCTCCTGATTCTAGGGGACTTCAATCTTCCCAGAGTCAACTTCGCGTGACACCTTTATCGGAGGTGAAAACTCAACTGAAACTCGAGTTTTCAACCTCATTGAGGATCTGGGATTATTATAAAATATGAAGTCGGTAACTCGTTGGAGAAACAGTCATACGCCATCGCGCTTAGACTGGGCTTTTACAAGTGAGGAATTCCTAGACGACAACCCCTCAATTCTGACTGCCCTGGGGAAAAGCGATCACGCCGTTCTATCCTTCAGTCTTGTCGGCAAAACTGAGCCAACACATCCTACCAACAACAGGCGCTGGCATTTCAAACGGTTGAATGTGTCGGGTGGATTGGAATGTTCACTTTCAACTTCATGTGGTTATTCATTGGGTTTTCTTACTACTCACGCTCTAATGTGCTACAAAGCAGTCAGTTCCCTAAACGGTCTCCAAAAGCTACAAGCAACCTACAACCATCAAGAATCGCACTCTTGGTTTGCTAAGTCGCAAAAAGCACTGTTAGGCTGAGTACAAACGAACTGGTAACAAAGGCGCGTACAGGCAATACAAACTTATAAAGAACATACGCACAAAGGCAGTAGGACAAGACAGGCCTCAGCACCAGATGAAGGTTATAGACGAATTCGTCTCCCGTCCGAAAAGCTTATTCCGTTACGCAGCTTCTCTTTGACAAACAAAAACTGGAATTTTCCAATTGTTAGGTTCTAATGATCCGACCAATAACGATGTGGATGCCTCTAACTTTTTAGCTGAACAATACTCTCGGATATTTCAACCAACCCCCACCAACTACACTGATGAAAGCCTCATCTGCTACTGCACAGGACTTTCCGAAGTGAACCTGAGCGCTGACCTGGTGTTCCGTAAACTGCAGCACCTAAGAAAAGGCACTTCTCCTGCTCCGGATATGGTTCATTCTGCTATACTGAGGGAAGCAGCTTCAATCCAGGCAAAACCGCTTAGCATGATGTTCTCACACTTGCTAAGCTCGCTCACATCACACCAATTTTCAAAGGGGGTTGATGTAACAAACCCTCAAGCTACCGACTTCTGGCCCTTCTCTCTATACCTTCTAAAATTATGGAGTCCCTGATATGGAATGTTCTGATGGGCTCCCAGGGCTCATTACTGGAACCCCTTTTCTTCTTGACTTACATAAACAATCTTCCACAACAAGTATCGTCTGGCTTACTGCTTATTGCTGGTGATGTGAAACTTTGGAGAGAGAGTAAGGCAACCAAGAGGATATGCTGGCACTTCAGGAGGATCTGGCTCGACTTCAAAGTTGGGCAGACGACAACAGACTTACCCTCAACATTTCAAAGCGCAAAGTAGTCCATTTGCGACATGTTGCAGACTACAGTCACAACTTGGGAAACTCCTCTCTAGAAGTATCCCAAGTCGAAAAAGACTTAGAATTGCTGGTACCCTACGACTTGCAATCTTACCCCAACTGTGACAAAAATGCCTTTCGAGAAAACCCTGCACTGGTGACATTGAAAAGCACTTTTGGCCAGTTCGATAGAACTTTCCACATAATCTTCAACAGTTTTATTCTTCCCTTTTAGAGTTCGGTAACATAGTATTTCCTCCCTCCCTCCCTTCGAAAGGATAAGGACACTCTGGAACGTGTCCAATGTCGAGTCACGAAATCAGATCGAGGACTCAAATGTAAGCCTTATGAAGAGCGCCTCCAATCACTTGACCTTTACCTGATAGAGTATAGGTGTCTTAGAGGTGACCTTCTTATGACTCACAGTATCCTTAACACTTCTGGTCATCCCCTTAATCATCTGCTTAAGCTTAGTCACAATACTGACCTGTGGGGTAACACCCAGAAACTGAAGACCCAAGATAGCAGAATGGACTGTATGCAAAAGTTCTACTCCCTAATAGTCGTCAAATTCTGGAACTTGCCTTCAACTGAGCTAGTCCAAGCGACTTCGCAGGACTTCTTTAAGAGTAAACTTGACCTATTCTTAAGGACTGAAGATAAAATCCTATTATGATTTACCAATTTATGTTTTTCCTCTATTGTCCTTAATATGTCTAGCTTCCTGCCTGGAGGTTTCGGTGATCTACTGCTACTAGACACGGAAACTCGTTAAGCGAAAGTTTCTTCTGTTCCGTCAACAACCACCTGAACCACTTGACGCTATTGAAAAGGCGCAATATATGTATTAAGTGATGCGAAATGTCTTTGACCTTCAACCTAGATGGCCATGTTCCCGAGCCTTCCGTTTCTGTGGAAGAATTGAACGAAGAATTAACTAGGATGCGGAAAATAGTGCGAACTGCTAAGGTATGATGTAAAGTATTTTCTAAAAGTCAGGTGTATGCATTCCGAGATTTGATGAGGAGCGTTAAAAAATTACGAGAACAAATGTCTCGTCTTGGAGGCTGCAGACGATTAGAAAGCAAAATGGAAAACAGGATCTCTGATATGAAACTCCTGCAAAACCTCTCGGTTGTTCGTTTATGTAAACGGTTACTGGCAGACGAACGTGATAAAAAGCATGTATGTCCTCAGATACCTTTTTAAAATAGACTAAGCTTGCCACTGATTTCCAATTTCAAGTTCTTACACACTTCGCAAAATGTATTCTCGAAAATAGAGTTGAAGGGTCATTCCGGAAATATACGCTTTGCATCTAAATCTTACTGATTTCGATAATTTGGATTTAGGAGTCCATATGTCTAATGTGTGACTATATGTTGTTTTTTATAGTTATGGAATGACAACTTATGCAAACAGTGTAAGGTTTCACGGGTAGAGCTGAATATCCAGTTTCCTTATATTCTTGTATACTATAATAGTACTCAACTACCATGTTCATGTCAAACATAAATATCTCTAGTACACATTTGCCTCAAATATAAATGTTCTTCGGTTTCTCAAAACCCCTAAATTTTGTGGTTAATTTGTCGGAGTAAGCTGCATAGTGTCGCGATCAGATCTTAACCGTTAATGTCTACTATTTGAAGTGTTACAACCTATCAACTCTCTTTTCTAAATAGTTGCAGGCGTCACGATGGTAAACAATATAACTTCCCCGGTTTAACACTTCAAAACTCGTGATACATCTTAAACTGTGTATGGCGTGAAAAAAGATACAAGTGTTAAGTACTAATGGCGCAATCTTGAAATAAAGGTGTCTAAAAATATTCTACTGAAAGGTTCAAAAATAGCTTGTTACTTTTTGTCAATACTTGACGATGTTATATCGGGTGCATTTTTAAGGACATCACGGACCAGAGTGTGTTCGGAACAATCATTCCTCAATGTCCTACCATGCTAGATAGGTCTGTTGAATAGCGGTAAGACTAAAAGCAGCAAATCTAAGGTCCGAGGACGAAGTCGTACTGCTGTCTGTACAGAGCTGTGACGACAGTAAGGTGTACCCCCCATATAACCGTCATAGTAGCGATGCTGACTTCCCATAAAGGAGGGATGGGGTTAGAAAATGTCAACCCTAAAACTTCACCCCTTGCCTTCCCTCACGGAGTTTAATCTCTGACGGTAGGGTCTAAACAATTACAGGACCAACACAAAAATCACTTACAAAAAGTTCGTGTGGTCAGCCTCAAGCAGTTGTTCTTTGGGCGCTGCGGTCACTCCTTTTCATCATTATTACCTACACTTCCGCTGGCTCCAGCCCGGATGAAGTGAAAGATGAATTTTACAGAAAGCTTTCTGAAATTCTTCAAAATGCTTAACACAAACATAGTATTCGTATTAGGTAATTTTAATACTCAAGTAGGTAGCTCAAACCAAACAGAAAAACGTTTATGTGAGTATTTTAGTATTCCGGCTCAGTGAACAGATAATAGTTATCGTCTGCTGCAAATGTGCTCAGATAATCGTTTATATTTAGCAAGCACTAAGGAGAGACATCGTCTAACATGGCGAACACCTGCTACAAACCAACGATTGACTCAAATAGACCATATTGCCATCAGTCATCGTTGGAGAGGCTCGATAGAAGACTGTCGTTCGTACTGGAATACATGTTTAGACTCTGATCACGCTTTAATACGAGCACGCATTTGTTTGCTTCTCACTGGACGCAGAAATACCACATTAAAATTGAACTGAGTGACGAGGAATCCAAAAGTAAGTTCCAGGAACAACTGAGTTCACATCTATGCAGTTCTGTAAACAAGGCCGACCCAGATGTTGCTTGGAAAGATACACAAACAGCTGTGGAAACAGCAGTAACATCTATTAGTAATTCAAACCAAAGGGTTACAAAATACTAATGGATTTCTTCTAAGTCTACTGCACTGATGGATTCTCGTAACTCGTCCCATCAGGTTCTGAACACGACAAAGACGGAAAACAAACCAGATCTAGGTCAACCAAAAGTCTAAGGAACGATCGTGAGCAGTGGTGGGCAACGAAAGCAAAAGAGATGGGAAAGACAGATGATATAGTCCTGTTTGGTGAAGACGCTTATGAAATGCAGACTTCTGTTAGCACTGTGTAGCAATGCCAGGATAATTGGAATGCGTTTCTCCCCCTCTAAATGCAAGTTATTGCTTCAGGGCTGACTTGCCTCAACACCTGAACTAAGGATAGGGAGTGAAGTAGTCGAACGCGTCAAAAACTTCACTTATCTTGGAAGTCTGATCAGTCATAATGGGTTGGTGTCTGACGAAATCTCAGCATGCATTCAAACAGCTCGTTTGGATTTTGCCAACTTACGTTACCTATGGCTAAGACGAGATATCCGTCTATCAATTAAGGGACGAGTATACGGTGCAGCAGTTCTCTCTGTTCTACTTTGCAGCTGCTAAACGTGGCCATTAAGGGTAGAAGATACTCGTAAGTTACTAGTATTTGACCACAGATATCTTGTAAATATTGCTCGCATCTACTGGGATCACCGGGTAAGTATTAGTGAGGTTAGACGCAGGGTATTAGGGAATGTTGGTAAATCAGTTAATGAGGTCATGAATCTTCATCGACTGAGATGGTTGGGCCACGTGTTACAAATGCCTGAACACTGATTACCACGACGCGCTACGCTGAACAGCATTGGCGATGGTTGGAAGAGAGTTAGGGGCGGCCGAAACAAGACGTGGCATCAATGCATAAAGTCACTAGCTTCTAGTTTGAATCATGTTGGTAGCTGCAGACCACTTGATTGGGGTCCGCGTGACTATCGTAACCAATGGTTGGAGACTGGGTGACGTGGCTCAGAATCGATCACAATGGCGTAGGTGTATACACTCTTTGTCTTCTCTTAAACATTTCTTTCTAATTCTTTCTCCTTTTATCATATCCTTAAGTGAAATGCCTTTTTACTACCATTGAAATAACTGCTTCTATGAATTTGGTGTTCATCTTGTTGTGTTAATGAGGTGTGGCAACTTGGACAGATGCATATATATGCATAGTCCTACGTTGTAGCTGATCGAATAACTTGATTGGAAGGAATTCAGTGATGGAAGGGTGTGTGATTTATTACATGACAGTATAAAAAAGCAACCATTCATATTATTCTTATTAGCTTCAGAAATATGGACGTTATCTCACTCAAGAAGATCGTTTAATTATACGTCTCAAATCATCGAAACCTGTATCAGCCTTCATCAAATCATTCCGTGAAAAACATGACGACTGGATTAGTCTGGTTCATTATTTGTTTTACAAAAATGTATCAGGTAAATGGAAGTCAAGAGAACAAAAACGTCGAAATAGGAACGTTCGTGGATCCTTACCATTACCTCCTGCACCTGTTAAGGAAACAGAACTTGGTATTTCGGAGGATCAAAGGTAAAATTTAATTTGATTAAATATTTCAACTGTCAAGGTGATGAGATTATTTTTTATTGTGTGATCATTTCAGTTCCCATATAGAATGTTCGCTCTAATTAATTATTTGTACAGACAATTATATGTTATACATACCGGTATCTCACTAGTACTGTCCAATTTTATTCAATGTAAATTCAACTTTTATGAAGCTTGCTTGTTGAATCACGTATTCCAAAACCAAATTATATATGAATTTACATTTAGGTAAATTATAAGCAAATACTTCAAACCTTATCCGGCTGACGAAGTCGTTTGATTTCCAAGATAAACTTATTGGGATGACCAATTTAATTGAACTACGTACTCAAGCATCTCTTGTATTAGTAGAAATGTCTATAGTTTGCCACATTAAATCCATTATTCTTTGCAGTACTGTCATTTCGGAAAAAAGGAAGACATCAAAAAAGCTAGAAACATCCTGCTGTGATCATTATATCTATTCAATTCTGATAGATATCACTAGTTTGTCCCTGACTATATCGTCTGCTCATGAAAAGAGAGCACTTTGTAGGTCTTAATTTTTCTGTCCCAACAGCACAAATGTCTGAATTGGTAATTAGTATCCGATTCGGAAACCTCCATAATCAAATAAGTATCTTAGATCCTACATCCTTAGAGAGTCAAAGTTGATGTAAAGCTACACCTTTAGATATGACACACCATTCTCATGTTCCTTGACAAAAGTAGAAAAGTATATCAACTCAGCATTTCAAATCATTAAAAAGTTTATGAAACAGTGTTGATATTATTCTTGTTAAACCTGATAAATGATCAGGTGTTGTTGTTACTAATTAGTCCGGTTACGGGAATATGATGGTATCCATTCTCAGTGACGAAAGCAAATTTATGGTCGATGTTGACTCTGAAAGACTATGCAAATTAGAAAGGAAGGTCGACTCGGATTTAATGAAATTTCTTAACATGAATACTGTTGACAAATAAGAATCTAATTTGTTAAAGCCTATGAATCCAATGTATCCTCATTTTTATAGACTTCCATAAATTCATAAGCCCCTTATGTTTGATCTTGTCCATATAACGGGCACCTACACATAATCTTGCGAGATGATTGACAGAAGTGTTAAAACGTATTCTAAACTAATTTTATCAGTACTTTTTAAAAGATTCATCCGAATTAATTACGTGGTGAATATCAGTATTAGTACGAAGACAGTATGCTCCTTTGGTGTAAGCACTTTATATACAAGCGTACCTCTTAGAAAGACTTGGTATTTTGTGCGACTATCTGTATCATTAAACGATCCTGAGCCCTCATTTCCTGTAAAAGCTCTTGAGGATTTATTTTTGTATACTGATAATGTGAATTTTATTTCTTAGGTGAAGCATTTTCGACGGATTGATAGTGTAGCTATGAATAGTCTTTCAGGACCATTTATGGCCAATATGTTTGCGGTATATGTGGAAAATCTAGCGAAAGATTCAATTCAAAAGGCGTCTCTATAATCGGTACATGGATGACATTAGTCATAAGTGATGAACGTAAAGATGCGAACCGCTTGTTAGAGGAACTCAACGTAACTCAAAAGCCTATCTGTCTTACATGAGAAGAAGAGGTGAATAACCAACTTCCATCAAACGTTCTCTTTATAGAAAACAAACACGGATAGGGCTATATCTTAGTTTTCATAATCACTATCCAGTTCGGTACGAACACGGGTTAATAAAACGGTTATTCAATAGGATCAATCGTATTTGCACTAGCGATATTATTTAGAGAGACGATAAGCTTCTTATTGTGACATTGGTTAATAACTGTTGTTCATCGAAGTTTATAAACTCCTGGATATGTAGCAATGTAAATAGACCCACGACGTTTTTGGCATCAAAAAAACTTGTCTATATTACCTTACGATTGAGGGGTGACTTAAATAGTCTCAACTTGTAACGGTGACTTAAATTAACTATAAGACATTTTACGCAGCTGAACTGATCACTATCGAAAAACTAGTGTCTCTGTTTCACCAAAACCCAAACAGTATGTAAACGGTCGTTTCAAATTCTATTACGTCTGCCAATGTACATCTATATGCGAAAACATATATACAGGGAGAAGAAATCTTGATCCGCAAGTTACTGTTTGAACGCACACCTAAATGGCTACAAAGACATGGATTTCAGTGGTCAAATAAGGTTACAGGACAGACAAATATATTTCTCAACTGCAAAATATTTGCTTGAGACGGGTCATGAGGTTGATATCAAGTCGGCTTTTTTGGCGTTATGCAGGAGTTGGAGGGCATATACTAAGGTTTATTGAAGCTCTGGCTATACGAAAACTAAGACCATTACATGTTCAAAGCAGTTCGTTTTTAGCCTTAACTTACCCTGGTAATACTGATTTATTATTTAGCGTGGTTTTGACATTGTGCACTTAATTATCATCTTTCTTTCCTTCTACCTTCTAATTCGTCTTGTTAAATTTTTATTTTTCTAATACATAATATCCTAACTAGTATACATATGATCAGATTTTTCGAAACGTATTTCACAAATATATCACGTAGTTCTGTTAAACTTCGTCTTCTCGTCGCATTATCCTATCTTTTGTAATTATAGGGTCTTTTTTATGTAATGCTATTTTCAAAGTCGGAGACCTTATCTAAGAAATGTTCTATATGAATGAAAAGCATCCCTATTATCATCACCCATCTATTTGTGAAACAGTATTCTTAATATATTGTATTTCAGTAGTCTTGGCACATTGCTAGCTATATTTTGCATATACACAAATAATAGATCTCGCTTTGAGTCATATTAAATGTTTTAAAGGTCAATAAAAGCAAAGGCGTTTGTAGTAATCAAAGAGGATGTTTAACTACTCAAACTAAAGTGGTTATAGTGAAGTTCAAATCCGCGATCACTGAGCTACTACATTATGGTAACTACTTTTCCTATATATATCGTTAATTAGTAGTGCCACTATCTGCTGAAATTGAAGTAGATGGACTGCGCTTTTAAACACATTCTTTCGTTCCAGTATTTTTTTTAGAATTGGGCCTCATATCAAAATTTAGTTCTCTTTATTTTTATTAATATTTAAACTTATAAATGACCGAATGATTAAGTATTTTCAAGTTCTTTATCATCAAGTTTTGTTCTGCACTCATTTTTATTTCTTTAGCAACAATCCCTCATCCTATCGTATTCAAAACATATGTTCAGAATCTGAAAATTGCATAAAAACACTACCAGCCCAACATACTCTTAGTGGTAGTAGCATACTCAGTGATACTAATTCAGATATGTCAGAAATAATCGCTCGGTTACTTGAACGAAAAGGCATTAAGAAAATCGAATATTTCAATACCATGTATAAACATGATTGTATGAAAAATGGATTAATGGAACAAACAGTAAATAAACCAAAGAAAGTAAAACTTCCATTGAAATCTCCTGACGTAAGAATCATTCACCATATTCCCTAATTTTTTTATTAATATACTAGTATATCCTTAAGGAAATTTATGCAGTGGTTCTATTTGGTTTAGCCTTATGAAGATTAAAGAAGAATCTATGATCGATTATAGTAAATAATTGTCAAATATTATAGGAATATTCATTTAAGAAAACTCTTGGTTCATGCAGTTAGAGTGTACGTTTATAGGTCACTCATTCAAATTCAAACTACTACTGTTATAATATAGTGAAGAAAGCGTTAGGTTATAAGCTTAACTAAATTTTGTCCACCATATACCCTTTCGGAATTAAATCTTAGCTATTGTTCATCATAATAGACAAAATAATCTCAACTGAGATTAAGTTTTGAAATAAATTGTCTTCAAATTGAACAATCTTTGCAAGCCTATGCTGATAATTATGCGCTTACTGGTAACCGAGCTTTGATAATAATTTCTGAATTCTTAATTGGAAGCCTTTTTTGATGGAGTTTAGTAAAATAGAGAATGAGACATATCCCCAGTGGTACTTTTAGGTTGGCCATGTGATATCGTCAGTTGACTAAACTTAGAAATGGGGACCATTTTATTTTGACTTCATGGCTAAATAATTCAAATTTTGGGCATTAAATATCAGGTTTGAACCCAGCAACATCTATTTCGTTTTAAGTAGTCGAATAGTTCCACTAGCTTTCACACAATATGGTTGTAAGTATATAAATCTGTACTTGATAAAAGAGTTACGTTGTTATTATTATGTATTGATAGTTTACTTTTAATAATTACTTATATCATACCTAGTTAGGCATTTTTCACTCCAGATGTGTTTTCTGCCCATTTAGAATTATTGTTGATGAGCATATGTCCCAAAGCATATCTCTTTTTTTTTACTACTAAGCGTAGTCTTGAGTGGGTAACACTGATATGAAGATGGACTTTTAAAAACGTATCCATCAGAAATCCAGCATTCTTTTTCTTGATTCTGATCGGTATTTTTTTAATTGATTATTCAAGAGTTAACTACAAAAATCGTCAGACGAAAGTTCGATTGTGGTGGTCGGTATTCGATATTATCCTAAAACTTCGTATATTGTTTACCCTGATAACGGTTGCCCGATAACACACCAACGGTATATAAATCAGAAGGCGAATACGAAGTGTTGATTATGTTTAATATTGAACCACGCACAGATTGTCGAAATTACAGGCACGTTCAGCAAGCATGAAAGATTATTGCAGAAAAGCGAGAGAGTGATTATTTTATTTATTTATTTAAATACAAACTTTAGTACAAGGAGGAACCCAATAGATATGCGCCACATAAATCATTCGACTTGTGTGAGGGCTGGGATACTGCCAGGCTGCCCAGACCAAATCAGCTGGTTTTGTTGGGGGGTCACACCCAGAGCCTTTCACCTAAAGATCTGATCCACAAGGCAGTTTGGCAACGTCAGGAGATGCAGTCCCATGGTAACCGGTGACCAGCAATTGGTTCGTACGCCATGTGTTCTTTCAGGATACTGGAGTCAGCCCATGTGCACCATTGGTTTGGAATCAGGGTTTCCCAACTCCCTTAGGTGGACTTTCCGTGTTCATCGACCCGGTTGAAGTACCGGACATTCGCTTTTCGTCCTCTCAATTTGGTAAAAAAAACACCATCGCCACGAGAAGGCAGTGAGTAGGACTTCCCTGGCAGAGGCTATATACGCGTGGCTGTGTAAGAGCATTTGGAGAAGGAGAACGGACTCTTCCCACTCTCGGCCGTCCCAGGGCATTTAGGGGCAAGCGAGTGAGCATGCGAGTCGAATGAGCGAGCGAGTGATTGAGTCAGTGAGCAGGATTAAAATATACACATATATACATATGGAAATGAATGAATCACCTAATCAATCAGGCGGCTAATAGTAAGGTTAGCAAAATGAATATATGCGTTTATTTAACAATCGTAGTGTTTCTTGATATCAGGGCGGCCTTCGATTCGTTGGACAGGACTGTTCTCTGGGATTGTCTATTGAAGAAGGGTGTGCCTGAGAAGTTCATTAACATCTTAAAGGCCCTGTATACGAACACCTCAGGCAGAGTGAGGGCATACAACCACCTTTCTCCCTTGTTCCATTCGAGCAGTGGGGTTAGACAGGATTGCCCGATCTCACCATTCCTCTTCAACTTTGCCATCGATGACATCCTGGAAACAGCTCTGATGGATGTAAGTAATGCCGGTGTGGATATGTTGCCTGGAGAACGACTTCTCGACCTTGAGTATGCGGATGATATTGTCTTACTGTGCGATAATGCCCAAGGCATGCAATCAGCACTTAATCAGTTGGCAATCAGTGTCCGCAGGTACGGTATGTGCTTTGCACCCTCCAAGTGCAAGGTACTCCTACAAGACTGGCAGGATTCTCATCCTGTACTCACCCTGGATGGTGAGGAGATCGAAGTAGTTGAGAAGTTCGTGTATCTAGGTAGCTATATAAGTGCCGGTGGTGGCGTGAGTGATGAGATTGATGCACGTATAACGAAAGCCAGAGCGGCTTATGCCAATCTGGGCCATCTTTGGCGCCTTCGTGATGTTAGTCTGGCTGTAAAAGGTCGGATCTACAACGCGTCGGTGAGAGCAGTTTTGCTCTATGCTTGTGAAACCTGGCCTCTCCGAGTTGAGGATGTTAGACGTCTCTCTGTGTTCGATCATCGTTGTCTGCAAAGGATTGCTGACATTCAGTGGCAACACCATGTTAGTAATGCAGAGGTTCGGCATCATGTGTTCGGGCGCAGAGACGATAGTTCAATTGGTGTCACCATCTTGAAACACCGACTTCGGTGGTTTGGACATGTTTTACGAATGTCGTCCCAGAGACTTCCACGTCGTGCATTATTTGCCGACCCTGGGACTGGTTGGAAAAAGCGGAGAGGAGGTCAATGTATGACATGGTGTCGTGGTATGAAAGAAAGCTGCAAAGGGCTAGCTTCTGTTGGTCCTTCACGACTCCCTGGTTGGGGTCCGAGAGATAGTGCAACACAGTGGCTAGAGCCGTTATCAGATATGGCTCAGAATAGAAGCCAGTGGCGATCCTGCTGCAACCTTCTTTTACTTTCTACATAAAGAATGGTTCTAACTTTCTTAACTGAAAGAGTCTTCTGGTTGTACATTTCAGCCCGCCTTATCTTTTCATCCCTTCTCTTGCTACTTTCATTATTTTGTGTGGCGCATATGTACCTGGTGCCCTTTTGTACCAATATATATGTGTTTAAATAAATAAATAATAATAAAGGTACAGTAGGGTAGATAGGTTGTCATTGGACGAATGACTCTATCTGGTGAATAAGTTAACAAAAGGGCTTAGCCAAATGAAATCTGAACAAATTCAATTGTACGTGAGTTGCTATATCATATATGTTAATACTTATATTCAAAGTTTGTATTTTAAAAATGTGGGAACTCATCATTTGTCAAGTAATGTAATGCGTTTAAACGATTATCTTTAATGATAAATAACTTTTTCAAGACTTGATGATTCCAAATAATATAACCATTCGTTTGTAATGATAATATTAGTAATATTCACAGTATCTTAGTAAAATAATGGATTTCAGAAATTAGACAATCAAAAGAGGGTTTGGTGGAGATTTTAGTAATTTTATGGTTGAGATCATGAGTCAATTGAAGCTAGGCCACCATGTAAAACCTGGAAGCTCTGGACGGCCACTCTAGAGGTTAGGAGCTCGCGCGTGATACTGATAGGTCTTGGGTTCGAATCTCGCGAGGCGGGGTCATGGATGCTCACTGCTGAGGAGTACCACACTAGGACGAAACGGTCGTCCAGTGCTTCCAGGATTTCCATGGTGGCCTAACTTCAATTGACTCCTGATTTCATTTATAAAATTTATGTGAATCACTTTATTTCTTAGTAATTAGATAATTGTTTCTTCAAATGAGTAATACTACTTTCGAGTAGACTATTGAAATTTGATAAAAATTATTTTATACATTGAGAAAAAAGATGCAAAGAATCGATTCATACAATGTTTCGAAATATCAGAAATTTATTTTTCTACTTATTAGTTGAATATAAATATAAATCGTTTTTTAATTGTTCTGTTCATTTAGTGATAACTTATTTTCGTTGGTTCATTCGACGTTTACTTTATTATATTTCTTAATTATCAATATTTTAATTAGATAAAGAACCAAACTTCATTCAATTCTTGTCATGAAAATCCTGTAGAAACACATCAAATGGAAGATTCATTAATTGATGATGATCCTCTTGGTAATGATGATAAAGATGTTAGAAAGTTATATGTAAGTTCCATTGTTTATTTGTGTTAGAACTTCAAAGTACTTTTATGATTAAAGTTTCTATCAAGTCTTTCTATTCATTTCGTTTAATTGCTATCATTACAACTTTAAATTTTTCTTTTGCTTCAATTATTAATCTGAATGATGAAGACACTTCAAAATGTATAGATTTTACAGAGTACGTGTCATAAGTCTTACTAATAATTGAAGTAACATGCTAAGTGTATACTGTTCTTAAATGAGTTATGTCGCCATCGTAGTAGGTTACGTCTGTCCATTTCAGTCTCATTATTTTGACAGTATTAACAATTTGTCAGGAAATATCTTCCAGTAATGAGCTGTTGTTATATATATGGATCCACTTGGTAGACACCGCAAAAACATACATACAACCTTCATTATATGAATGATGATATATGAAAGCACTTTCAATAGGCATCTTCTGCTTACTTATTGCCTTACAAAAATATAAATACGCATGCTGTTCTTAGAAAATATTATTTCAAAATTTCGTCACATACTTTAATAGTAATAATAAACGTATCCGTGTTGGTTATTCATATCATTTCGACACGTCCCTAAGAGTATTGTGTTGAACGAGAATACAAGTGGAGACAATCAAATGTATTCGAATATAAAATTACAAAATTTCTTAATAAAGTCTGAAAACCATACAGTAAATACTTTATTTGCAAAATGTCAATCAATTGTCTCAGACTTGATTGTTCCTTCGTTTCCATACCAATCACTCTCTGTTCTCGTTTTCTTCTCTTCAATCTTCTTAACTTTCTGCTGCCAGGTATTTCACTTTCGATCGGTAACACATACTACTTATATCTGTTGACATCAGTTGCACACACCACAGTGTTAGCTAATCATACACATTGTTCAGTTAAGTCATCTAGTCTCAATATTCTATAAATTGTCGTCTTTTTAAAAAATAGATTGCCTTAATCGTCAGTCATTCTGACAGTCATTATTGTTTTCTGTCAATCTAATCATATTTCTTTATTATTTTATAGAAAAAAGGTTTTGTAAGACAAAAGTATCCTTCAAAAGTAAATTCACATAAATCTCATACGAAACAAAACTTTCCTAAATTTCCATACAAAATAAAACAAGATAATTTACAAATGCATAAAACAACAACAGCTAATCCTACAGAAACTGTTATAACTGAATTATCTAAACCTGGTTTACATCCATCATGGCAAGCAAAACGATTAGAAAAAGTGAAAGTTATGGAACTATGTAAAGATTCAACTACAGAAGTAAAACATATTGTATTTGATGGTTAAATGATGGTTACATGAATAAACAAACGAACATGTATCATAAATTACTATTGTATATACACTTAATTATGTTTATTATTCAACTATTTGTCTCTTTTACCAACCAGGTATATCTAACATTCCTTTCGTATTCATGCCTTTTTTTCTTCTCAAAACTCACACTGTTGACATTACAATTGTGAATGTTGTTAGTGAGTTGTTTGTTTACTTTTTTATGAAGGAGGGGTGGGAACTCTTCAAAATCTTTTACTGTACGGATTTTTAGAATATTGAATCATTTAAACATTGTTAATTAGCTTTTTGTCAAAAATTGTGTAATTTGGTGTGAAGGAAAATAGTCCATGGGCAATTTTGTTAGTAAGAATAGATGAGTGAAAGGTAGAAAGTTTTCAATTGATGGCTGGTAAGCCAACTCCAATACGTCTCATGTATGTTTCGCTCGCTAACGTTCGCTCATGTGCTCACAGCTTTCTGGCCTACGTTGTTTGTCAATAAAAATGTAGTTGCTGCTTTCCTTTGTCTTCTGACTCTATACACCGTTAAGATTAGTATTATAACGGTTATCGAGGCGATCAGTTAACGAAGCACGCCATTGCAGTAAATAACGGAATAACACAAGTCAAATACGAGTGTTTAGGAAAAAATGTATTTCATCCATTCATCAGTGCAGACGAATAATCAGAGGAAAATCGAAAATGCAAAACCTGAGTTCTTAAAATATTACTCATTGCCAGAGTTAATATATTTCATAAAAGACAATGAATAATGTGAGCAGGGAATGGATGATAATATTATGAGTAAACAGACATGTACAAGCACACCTAGTAATAATAGGACGCTCAAGCATATTATTAGCAAAAACATGAATAAACTATTTTTACCGAAGGTTCCTATGAAGAGAATAGAGTTATTAGGATTGTAGAGATGATTCAGTAGTCACATGCTGTCTAAACATCTGGAATAAGCTTGCACATGTTTCGTAACAGAGATGTCACTACACAACAAAGCATATAAGAATGTCCATTATTTTGTTGGTGAGAGTGATAGTCGTTATCTGAAGATTGTTTAAAACAAACAACTTGTAGGTGAAATTTGTTGTCGATCACTTGTCAATCAAAATAACTTAATGTTGATTACCTACTCGCCATATTACTGCGTAACGTGTATTATTACCATAATTTAAAAATGAACCGAAGCTATAAGCTGTCATTATTCTATTTATGTTTTTACCTGGACACCAATCGACGGTTTTGTATATTGTTGGATTTAGGCCACTTATGTCTCACTCCGGGTGTAACGCGATAATCTGTTCATTTGGATAGCGATAGACCTGCAGTGTGGGATCTACAATAACATAATGCCAGCACATGATGTGATAAAGTATTGTATTATAATATTAGTTATTGTATACAAGATACGAATTTGATTACAGCACATAAGGAAATCGACAACAGAATTGAATTAATCACTATAGCTTCGATCGTTCATTATGCATACAAATAATAAAAATGTACAGATATTGAAATTTCATAGGTAAGCTTGGTGATAATTAATACGAAGCTACTAAATTAAACCCTTCTTAGAATACAATTGTTAATGATTGTGTTCGAGCATTAATTGAGTAGCAATAAGCAACACGTAAAAATTAAAGTTGGACGCCAATTAAATATGATATGACAGTGTATTGAATGAGAGTACCAGTGTGTATAGTCGAACATATTAGTAAAGTCTGAGAACCATACAGTAAATACTTTGTTTACAAAATGTCAATCAATCATCTCAGGCTGCATTGTTCCTTTATTTCCACAGCAATCATTCACTGTACTCATTCTCTTTTCTTGGAGCCTTTTAACCTTCTGCTGCCAGGTATTTCACTTCCGATTGATGATGCATACTACTTATATATATCGACATCAGTAGCACACACCACAATAGTATGGCATAATTAATTAATGAGCTGGTTTAAGAAATAGTAATATAACTAATGATATGTTTGAGTGTCACTGTCACATTGTATATAAATAAAACATCTTTTATCAGAGGGGGTTTTGTGGAGATTTAGTATTTTTCATAGTTTTAAAGCATGAGTCAATTGAAGCTAGACCACCATGGAAACACTGGACGGTCGTTTCGTCCTATTATGGGATTCCTCAGCAGTGCGCATCCACGTTAAGGGCTTCGGCTCGAAACTGGTAGATCCTGGGTTCGAATCTCGCGCGAGCGGGTTCGTGGATGCGCACTGCTGAGGAGTCCCATAATAGGACGAGACGGTCGTCCAGGTTTTCCATGGTGGTCTAGCTTCAATTGACTCATGCTTTAAAACTATGAAAAAAACATCTTTTATTTATGCGGCGAAATTATAATGATAATTAAGGTTAATATTGTATGGGCCTAGTGTTACATGACTCAAGGAAGGAAGCGGTTCTCATCACATTAACAGGCTATTTCGTCCGAGGAGCTCTTGGATCATCGACCTAGGTGGCCTGTGACGGTGATTGCGTGATCTGCTCAAGCTCAACGTAAGAAGAGTAGCCAAACGGCTAGCAACTTGCACAACGTCAACATTCTATCGAAGGTTGACCTCATCTGGGCTAATCACAGTCCGTCCTAATGACATTCAGGAAATCTCCATTCGGATTATTTGTATTCGTCCGCATATCTATTGACCTAATAATTGCGGCGCACACCTTCGAGCGAGTGCCTGGTCAATTAGCAAACCGCCTACTATTTGTCTGAGACTGAATAAAAATGCTTGCCTACTACTGAAAAAGTCAAAGCCGAGCAGTAAATCAATCTGAAAAGTTTGACGACTGCTTTGAAACAATAAACTCAACTAAAATAGGTTTCGGCAAACAACCCCTCACCTTCTTTGGTCATATTCTATATAATCAAGACATCAAAAGTTTTCCGAATGATGCAATATCATCAAGGATTTCCAGTACAATTTTCTTCTGAAACCATAACATGTTTCTTAAGAATGGTGATACTTCACACCCAATTCTTCTGAAATTGCTCAACCACTAACCGATCTACTAAAAGGACACTATGATTATTGACCAGCATTATGAAAGCGTTCACAGCTTTTGAATGTTTCAAGAATATATACACTGATGGTTCTCGCATTTCCACGAAGTTGCTGGGTTAATTGTTTCATACAAGACGTGCGGTCTTGTATAAACCGTCGACAAAAACGTACTAGACCGTTAAACGTGTGTGGTTGCTTGGTTGTGGTCGATTCTGGGTTATTCATGATGGCCACCACTTTGCTATTCAGAGGTGAGATGTCTTAAGCATTAGATAAATGTCCGAAATAGTCCAGAGTCGATGACACTTTGACTTTTTCGGGTGTTTACAGTGATACCGTGTTGTTGTAATCGTCCGAAGACAAGATCCAGAACTGGAGATCGGATTCGCTGCCTGAAACTGCTATCAGACAGTCATTGACATAGACATGTGTGAAGTTGAGACATCGAAAGACGTCATCAGTAAATCTCTGGGAAGTTTGTTTTGGACATGCGCAAAAATTCGCTGAGTACAAGGCGAGTGATGATAGCGGTTTTGGGAATGTCGTCAGCAGCCATGGTAATTAGGTCATAAGCCTAAGCAAAGTCGATTTTCGAAAAATAACGGTTGTTTTCTCATTCAGTCACCTATAATCACCAGTAGGACGCCAGTTATTACTGTCCTTTCTTAGGGGTCATGCGCAGTGGAGATGCCGATGAGCTGTTTGATGGCCGAATGATTCCTAAAACTACTGTATGGTTGAATTTGTTTTTAGCCAACCTCAGCTTTTCGGGAGCTAGTTGGAGCGTCTTCGAGAATACAGGTGGTCCTATAGTCGTTATGAGATTTGCAAAATCGATGGTTACACATGGCGATTTCGATTGTGATTGGTATAGCTCGGTGCACTTATCGAGTATTTGTTGGTAGTATGGGTCCATCGTGTGTCTTACTGTGACTGGGGATGATTTGTGACCCAAAAATGACGTTAGACAAAGAGATAATTTAGTATTGCTATCTACTGGCCTCTATCTTCTGATATCGATGAGTAGATTGTGATGCTTTAACGGATCTGTACTAGTGATTAGCATAGAAACATTTGCAAAAACTTAGATCCAATGGACGGGATTGCGTAAACTCACGTGAAGTGCACATGCCTCTTACCATGGGTGACGACCGGATCCCCATTCCTTCGATGAGTATGAATGCACTGAAACGAGACGAACACTGCATACACCTGTTGAGGAAGCTTAGAGAATAAAGTCTAGGCAGGCCCTCGCCAAAGGTCTCTTGATCAACGACATGTCTGTCACTGAGCCATGATGCAGCTACATGCTGTTGAAGATTTGTTCTAACCCTTGTCGGTCTGTTAGATCTCTACTCTTACGAATAGTCTTTTTCAAAGTTTCGTCAGTTCCCGATACATCACTAGTAAACATAGTAGGTGCGATGTACCTGTTGAAATCACGAGGTTGCGCCCTCACTACTGCAAGGAATTGTGCACATATGTCTGACACCGTGTTGGCGGAAGTCAGCTACTACATAGCAGAACCAAGCCTCGATGTTATCAGGCCAGAATGGCACTAGGTGGAATGAGGGTAGAGTAACAGTCTTGATCTTAAATAATTTAGGAGCCTGTTCGGTCATCATGAATATAAAGTATACCAATGAACGAGAAGGAAATATCCAAAGATACGAAATAGCATCATGATATATAAAAATTAAAGTAAGGATTGACATATAACGTTCTAAAAAGGAACATACAGTTTACGAATATGTGTACCAGATGACATCGGGCTCACTACTAAAGATCCCGTGAGTACTTGGATTTTGACAACACCTTAACCAGTAACACCTTTTGTATTTGGAACGTACCAACCCTTTGAAATCAGAGGCCAGGAGTGGAGTTCAAAGATATGTTTATAAGGCTATCGGTATTTTCGAGGAACATTGGGTCTGAGCTGGCTAGTGGTGAAAGGGGTTGCGTAGCACGGCGTAGCCACCCGTGACGTGCTACGGATGCCTGACCGAGTGCTTTCATCTAGATGAGCCCATTAAAACTAATTTAGTCAGTATCAAATGGGCATTTATTTACCGCTACACGCTATTGAGGAAATCTATCAGTATTAGTTGGTGCAAGTAAAATAGTGTGACCAAAGCCATATGGGTCAATTACATAAGGCATGCTGGTTGTTCTTTTGTTTGACAAATGCCGGTAAACTGTTGGATATTCAGTTGTAGCTGTAAATAATTCCCCAAAATCAATAGCTCATTAAGTGTTCGACATTGGATGCTGACCACGTTGTTTAAGTGGACTTGTTTAGCTGAAGGCTTTCGGTCATGCATCCGCACCAGATCACGTTTCAACACGGCGTGGGACACAGCTCCTACGTTTCATTAGCCAGCTTATAGAAAAGGTCCTCGATATATTGGTAACGAATCAAATATATCTTTCCTGCCTCTTCTCGTCTGACTTCTGATTTCTATCTGACTGGGAGCGATCAAATATAGAA